AGCCCCGCACGGCCCGAGCCCCGCACGGCCCGAACCCCGAGCCCCGCACGGCCCGAGCCCCGAGCCCCGAGCCCCTCACGACCCGAGCCCCTCACGGCCCGAGCCCCACACGCCCCGAGCCCGGCCGGGCCAGGGCTCCCGGCTCTCCCTGCAGCGGGGACACCGGGATGGATGTCAGCTCCCTCACCCTCCTGCACCGCGCTTTCCCCGCCTTTAACTCGCCTGTGGCTCCTCTCTCCGCCAACTGGCAGTTTAAAGAGTACTTTGTACATATCGGCTCTTTCCTGAGATGGGTTAATCTTTGATATACAAACAGCCTGAATCCTCGCCTGTTTTTTCAGCCCTGTGTCTCTTTATTATGTCTTCTCGTACCTGCTAGTTGTAGGATTGTTTTCTTCCCCTTTTTGCATCTCTTTTGGCTCACTAAACATCTTGCAGCAGAATCACAGTGTTTGTGCCTGTTTTGCACTCGGAAACTCCTGGACCCTAACCCTAACTCCTGTCTGCTCTCAGAAACTCACATCCAGAAAGTTTTCCCTCTCTCATGCTTCTTCCTATATGTTGTTTCCATCCTCTCTGCTGAGAGTATCCCTTTGTTTTGTTGATGTCAATGGATGTGCGGGTAATGCCACAGAATTTATCAAAATATTTCACATGAAGTTAAAAAAAGGGCAGGGACAGTGATTGCTGATGGGTATAAGCTGGACCTTACATAGTTTGCAGGTGTGTTGCTCAGGCAGACCCACAAATAAATACAGCCAAGCTTCCTAGAACTTTGTGTTGGTTAAAAAGGGCTCCAAATTCTTCATGTTATGATGTAGGCTGTTGGGTTTTAATTTCTTTTTCCAAGGTCCTTCCTTTCAGATCTAATTCTTCCTTTATGAAAGCACAAGGTTTGGTTCTTAGTTCCATATGTCTTTATAAGCCCACACCCTGAACACAAAATACTGTTGAAGATCACTCCCTTGTCTTATCCTGCCAAACACAAACTTTAAAGAGGTTTGGGATATGGATGTTCTTTTGTCCTGCTCAGCAGACCCCTGACTGGGATAATATCCTTAGGGTTATGAAGTATTATTGAAAGGAAGCACAAGAACACTGTGCTCTAGTTCTGCATGTGGCTTTAATTATAGATTCTCCTGAATCCTTTTCATACCTGTTCTTAATTTTTTTTTTTTATTGAAATTTCTTCCACTCTGTAATGATCCTCTTCAAATGAGTTTTAAAAATGCTATATAGAAACTAACTATACAAAATTAAGGAATATTGATACTACCTTTCATGTTCTTGTTTCTAATTCAGCCTGACAAGCTGTGCAGAATAGCTTGAAGAACTGGGGCCTCTTCCTCATGAATGCACCTATAAATTAAAAGCAAAGGAGTTTAAGCTGCTTTTCATTATCTTGCATCCAATGGCTGAATTTACACACCAAACAAAACAGTATCATCATCTTACAAAATAATGTTTGGGGAAAACATGTGTTTCAGAATTAAGTGTTTTTTTGGTCCTCAGTAATAGCAGTACTTCATTTATTTTAGATAAATATTTATACAAGCATGCTGTATATATACTGTATACCAAGAAAGCCCAGGGTCTGAGGCCCTTCAGCAAAGAATCTCTCATTTTCTATGATGATTTTTTTTTTCCTGAGCTGTTTTATAAGTATTAACCACTGAGGGAGTTAGGAACCTAAAAAGAAAATATTTTTGAATACTGGAAGGAGATCAGTTTCCTTTCCCTAGACATGATGTTACTCAGTGCAAACTACAGCCTTAAGTAAAAACAAAGTGTGCATTGAGAAATTCACTGTAGAACAGCTGCATTTCTGAAATATTGTAGGCAGGGAAAGTTTCACCCCTGGATTCCCTTCAGGTGTCTCAGAAGTTTCTGGTGCCCTGGTGCTAAAAGGATATTAGAAAAATTCTGCTTAAAAACTGGCTGCCAGAAAAGTCTTACTTTTAGGAAAGCACACCCTCCCCAAACCCCCTTAAATTTTTAAGTACTCTTTAAAAAGTCAAGGAATGGATGTGAAGATGAGGTGGGAACTCTGCTGTCCTAGAAGCTGGCCTGTGTCAGGAAAAAATCACTGTATCTGATTTAATTTTATATCTTTTTAATGGTGGGACTCCATTAAAAGAGCCCAATTCATTGTTCATAACAGTGATTACTGCTATATTCCAATCTACATTTTCCCAAACTTCCCATATGCCTTTAGTACCTGCTTTTACAGGCATTTATTGTGTTGGGTGCAGGGGCCAGATATTTCAGGACAAAGAGGGGTAGTTTCAAAAGAGGTCAGAAGAAGTTATGCCTCCAGCTGAAACTGGACTGGGTTACACAGTAAGCTGGTATTTTCAATGTCAGTTTTGAATGGGATAACTTGTCCAAAATTATATAGGAAACTGAGGCTAGAAACTAAGGAATAATTGATTTTGGCTTTAATGATGTTGTAGTAACTTTTGTCAACACCCCCCTAAGTATCTAACATTACAGTCCCTCACCTGGCTATTTCAGCATTATTGAAGAGCTTATTCTTAGTCCTGTTCCTGGAACTGAACTTGTCTGCAGAGGTAAAATGGCTTGCTAAATAAATCAAATTCAAAAGTGTTCCTATCCCCAACCAATTCAAGTGCAATGCAGAAAAAATAAAATGAAGTTCTAAAACTTATTTTGTACTCATTAAAGGAATTTTCATTTGATTCAAAGTCATTACACAGTCCTGTGGCAGACTGGGAGAAATGAGTACATGCAAAATGGCCTAAAACATCCACTGTAAAACTGTTAAACTAAGGGAATTGTGTAAAATTTGATTTTTGTACTTGGCTGGGCTTACATGTACATTTTTCAGTTTTGATTTGAGTTGTGGTTTTAACTCTGTTTAGAACTGGGCCAGAACCACAACCGTGGATCCAAATACCCACAAGTCCTGGCCCAGATCTGAATTTTTAATGTTGAATTCATTTCTAATTCACAAGAACCCCCAAATTCTGGGCAAAATTCTATCAAAACCACAAACTCCCCTGGTTGGAGTGCCAAGCCATAGTTCAGCCCAAGTTTGTTTGAAAATTACTAAAAACTGGTCACAGATTCTGTTGAACGTGGTCCAAAATTGAATCATAGTATTTAGAAACTTCAGCAAACTGAGGTAGAACTCAGTGGTTGCAATAAAACCAAAACTGAGAGAGTATTGTGAGGTCTTAATTTCTTTTTGTGGACATTTCTTGCAGTTCAGCAAACCCATCCTGAGAACTGCACTGGTTCAGGGGAACTGGTGGTTCAGAGAACTCGTGTGCTTGAGAGTAATTCTTAAAGAGCTGAAAGCAATGATGGAAATGTATTAGTTTCCTCTCATATGCTTTTTCCATTTTTAGTGGAGTTGCTCTTGTTCTGTTCTGCCTTCTGCACAATTAAAATAAAAGCCTTTGAAGTGTCTGAATTTGCATATTTTATTTTTTTCCAGAGACTTTGTCACAGCCTCTTATGGAAGTGATAGCATTAAACTGGAGCAGCACAATGAATTCCAGGAAGCGAGTAATCTTCATTAAGCTTGTTTATTTGCAGGAGCTCCATTAAATTAAGAATGCTTATCAGCCTATGTCTGCACTGATGAAACCAGTTCTGCTGTTTGCCTTGAGGGATTGGTTCCTTACCTGACACCTTGGGGTCCTGGATTTTAATCCTGCAAAATGTAGATCATTAGTTTAAAACTGACATTTAACCTATCATACAAGATCAATCTTTATATTAACTTTTACATATTCTCCATTTTAAAGATTAAGAAATAGGGTTACAATGCAGTTTATGACTTAAAACAGGTGAAAAACTTGGTTTTAAGATTTTTCTGTTGTGGTAAGGGCAGGTGTAGTTTTGGACTGATCCAATCTGGGACGTGAGTGCTGGCACATTCTCTTAAAATCAGAAGCAAAAGAGAGAGATGAATCAGTTCTGAATGGAACAAATGGCAGAATTCCAGTCTAATACCTTGAAAAGAAACTCATAAAACATGAAATAAAATTTAATTTCCCCCTATGTGTATTTAATGATGACCGTAAGTCAGTGGTGAGGTTCTTCTCCATTTAGGTAGAAATTTACACTTTTTAATTATTTTATGAAAATAATTTTGATGCATTTGAATTCTTCTGCACTGCAACATAAATATTTGGAAATGTTCACCCCTCTGAAAAGGTAATTGTTGTGGTGATTTGGATACATTATCAGCCACTGATAGGAGGACTCCAAAAAAAGCGCTCCCCATAAAGACATTTGTGTTTTCACATAATTAACCCAATGGCATTTGGTTCCAGCAAAGCCATTCTGCTACATAATGACAAGAAAAATGAGATATTAGTGAAGAGCTGGGAAGAGATGAATACACATCTGCTTGTGTTTGCTTTCCTGGCATGACCCACCAGGTTGCTCTTTAGGACTAAAATTAAAAATGTAGAGAATTGAAGATTTTAATGAAAAAAACAAACCAACAAATGCTCATCTCTTCTAATTGAAAATGTAGAGAGACATAATGGAGAGAAGCTGAACTTGTAAATGCTTTGGGTTTGTATTTCTATTGCAGGAGCTCTGTGTGTGCTCTTGTGTGTATGTATCAATTATAAATATATATCTGCTTTTGCAGTGACAGACTATTTTAAGGTGGCTCAAACAGTTATTGGTACCAAACTGCTTGATAATGAATGTCTGGGAAACTGTGATGACAGATCAAAGGATCAGCATTTTAGGTTTCCATTCCTGGTGTATCTAGTTTAGATTGACTGTAAATAAAGTTCTAGTCAGGTTCCAAATGAGCAAGGCAGGGTCTTACAGGGTAGGGTAGCATTATCTTGGGAATCCTGCTGAAACATGCTTCTGGAGGGGGCTGATCTGTGAGAATTGTGGAGAGATTTGTAAGCCTTGATTTTTAGTGAAGATTGCCTAAAGCAATATTAATTGAATATGCATCTTTCTGATAAACATACTGTACTTCTGAAACTGTTGTCATCAACATGACAACAAATGAGTGTGGAAAAATAAAATCCTGGAGCAAAAGGCAGATTTGCTGATGAGAAACTCCACTGGGAAGTCTGGAGCTTGCCATCCCATTTGTAAACAACTGCGCCCATGTGGCTGCGTCAGACGGACTCTGTTTGTGTGCAGGGGTGGTTGGGCTCTGCCTTTGTGTCACAGTGAAAGAGGGAGGAAGATGAAAAGTGGTGGCAACAAAACGAATATGCAAAAAAGGAGGGATCTGATCCAAGGACAGGAGCCGTGGGTTGGGGTT